TGCCAATAACCACATGAAAGATGAATCTATTATGTACAAATTTTGAACTAGATTCTGAAGGGATTTATGAAGAAGTGGAAAGCTGCTAATTTTAGAAAGACCTCAATCTGTAGCATAACAAAGCTTGCTTTTTATTCACTTTAAAATAATTTAGTACCCATAATTTAGTGCCATATTTTATGGTTCTCTCCTAATTCTAACTCTTAAATAATATTCTAGGGCAAGAAATGTAGCACCAAACTTACTCCTAGATGTAAAATATTATAATAATGTGATATAAACAAGATCCAAATGTATAAAATTAAGTGACACAATAATTTTATGCTAAAGAATCTTATTAGACCTTTGTGTTGAAGGTAGGTGGATATTAAGTCATGTCAAACAAATGTAATCTCCCAACCCTGCTGGGTAAATCTCAGGTTTATTATTGGACTAAGAATGTACAGAAACCATCCTCCACACACAGAGCTGACAATTCCTCTGTAATGCCTTCCCTTGTCTGGAGTTTACAGCATGAGCTTGGCTACTAGCCAACATGAACAATGTTTAAATTTCTTTATGGCAGCTCAATGAGCTTTCAAACATTCATCTGCCTTACCTACTGTGCTTAATAAAAAGCAAGTCAATGCATTTTCTCATTTCCTTTTCATCATTAATAAGAGCAACCATCAACCTTAAGAAAGATATAGTCTGCTTTTACTTTTAGCTTCCTTTTCCCAGTACTTCTGACTGAAGGACTAATAGAACACCATTATCCCACCCATCACCCTTACACATCCCTATATGTCTTGTCACTAAAACATAACTACTGTAAACAGCAAAAGCTCTAGAAAATTACTTCTGTTCATGACAACATTTTAAAGAGAATTTTACTATATCAATGAAATAGTTGCTTTATGAAAACTTTTACATTCTGGAAAGCTTAAAAGGCTAAGAAATTTCTAATAGCAACACAAAAATTTGTAATCTGTAACACCAGTACCATTGTCAAAGGAAAAATAGTTTCATAAATGATTTGCATATAAAACAACCTGATTAGTAACTTAGAAAATACGACATTTTAAGCTACATTTGTTTACCTAAAAGTGTACAGACTTATTAGTATGTTTTCCTTCCAAAATTTAAAACTTATGCATATTATAGTTATTAACATATTTTTTATGCTGCCTCATTTTAAAAGGAGCAGGAAATATAAAAATGTGTGATGCATCCAACAGCACCTGAAGTTATTTGATATTTTATTCCTTATTTCAATCTTCTTAATTTGTTTTAAGAAATAAAGATATTTTTATAGTCGGTATACAAGCTCATATTGCTTATATTAATTTCAGGTAGGCAATATTGTGATTGGACATTTTTATACTTTATAATGTGATCACCCCAGTAATTCAAGTAATCATCTCTCATTGTATAAATGTATCATAATATTATTGACTATATTCCCCTTCCCATTTTCACCAAAATAGTCAATCTAAATTGACACTTAAAGAAACTAAAGAAAGAAAAATAAACAAAATCCAAAGTAAATAGAATGAAGGAAATAATAAAAATCAGAATGGAAATAAAATAAACATTTTAAGTGCATTTATAAGTACACATATTACCTATTAAATAATTAAATGTGTATATATGCTAATATAATATGTAACATGCATATATATGTACATGCACACTTATACACATATAAATATACATGATATATATATATATATAGTCAAACATGAATATACATTTTTATACATAGCAGTGTTTATGAACTTTTTATAAACCCAGTATGTGTAGTAGATAAGTCAGCTCTCTCCAAAATTCATTCCCAATCTTCCACTTGGAGATCTGTCAAGCTAATAATGAAACATATTGTGCAAGTACACACATTGGGCACATAGGACTGCCTTTCTGGGGCCTGGTTCCTACTCGCCGTCATCTCCTATCAATCATGTCCTCAGCAACAGCAGGAGCAATGGGAAGAGACTCAAAGGTAATTAGCGGCGCGACTCGGTTCCACATGGCCAGACAATAAAGGCCAGAGATTCCCCGTTAAAACATCTCTGTGTTAGAGTTTTACGCAAATCTATTTTGAGAAAAGAGGAAGTGTTATATAAATGAATATGAAGTTCTTGCCTTTTTAAAGAACTATTGCCAATCTTTTCATCTCAACACTAATAACCAATTTCTCCAGCTACGCCTTTGGCAGCAAGAACTTGCAAATATTCACATTATAGTGACTTGCAAAATCATCATTAAATGAAAAATACTGACTTAGAATGTTATAGAAGGATTGGAGTTCAGAATTAGAGACTCCCTAATTTACATCCTGGCATTGTGAAACAGGGCAAATTAATACTCTCTTAGCCCTGCCCTGGTAAACTATGGCCATTAATACAAATAACAAAGCACCCAGAAAGGGTTTTGTTGAGGGTAAAGTGGTACGTTAATCACTAGGTACACACTAGGCAATCAATAAATGGCACTTCAAATGTATTTATTACTTATCATACTCGAGGCAGAACACCCACCATTTAAGATGGAATGAATTTCTATAAAATATTTTAAAGGTGAACCATAGAGCACAAAGGGAATATAAAGGGAAAACTAAAATTTTGAGTTTCATATCGAAAAGGTATGTTGCACGGGCATACCTGTTTGCTGGATGTAGGAAGATACATAATTCTGCGAACTTTTATGGGGAACACGACAGGCCTGCGCTGAGGGCCTTTCTCTGAAGGCACAGGCTGGTGGGCCTCTGGTTCCCTCCTGCCCCGGAGAGGCTGGGTGAACGCTGGTCACACACAGGTGCTCTGCACTCAAAGTTCTGTTTTGAAAAGTTCAGTTTCGTGACTCACTAACTGACATCAGACAATTGTCCAAATTCTCTAAGTCTCTACTTTCCCCTCATGGGAAATGGGACATGATGGCACCTTCCTCATAGGTCCTTGGGAGGATTGAACAAGATGCCAGGCTCAGTTACATGTCAGAGGACAGAAATGCTATTTTTAAAAGAAACAGCTGATGTTGAGGCGCTGCTCTGATTTTCAAAGAAGAAACAGTCATAAAACTAGAAGCGCGGGCATTTTTATACGAAGACTATTAATACAATATGTCGTGTGATATAACTGCATCTACCTGCCATCTTTGCATTAGTATCACATTACAGAAAAAAACAGTCAAATGTCAGGTTTGATCTCATGGCAGCACTTCCGAGTACCCTAAAAGGGAACTCACTCCACTGCAGCTGTTCCAACCCTTTGCATAAGGAAACACCCTTGGTTTCCCAATGTTTTTTCATTGTTGTCTCTTTTACTACTCTCTTCACATTGTCTATTCTGGCACTGTTAAATTCAAGCCACTGAGTGCCAATCACTTTGCCCAGCTCTTTGCAAGTAATATTTTTTCCTCTTTTACAGTAGCCTTCAAACATCCAGCCTCAGGTTAATATTCCTAAACTCTTTATTCTTTCTTCCAGAAAAGGAATCTTAGTTTTGTTTGTTTGTTTTTTGTTTTGATTTTGGTTTGCTTGTTCTTTTTACAAATGTGCCACTTTCTCCTGGTTTAAATACCTAGTAGGACATCACATGCCTTCAAAATTTATAGACATTCCCAACTCAGCCCCAGAAAGAATGAGTACTCAGGTACACTCATAAGATGCTTGAGCCAGGGTTCCAGATTGACCTTTTTGCCTTAATTTATATCTCTACCAAAGAAGGGCTGATTCTAAGGCCCTGGACCGGCAGCTCTGTTGGTTAAAGCATCCTCCCAATATTCCAAGGTTGTGGGTTCAATCCCTGGTCAGGGCACATACAAGAATCAACCAATGAATGTACAAATAAGTAAAACAACAAATTGATGTTTTTCTCTCTTTCAAATCAAACAATAAACAGTATTTTTTTTTTTTAAAGAAAAGGGTGATTTTAGATCAGGGTTTCTCCCTCAAGACACCATTGGCATGTTTGGTGACTTTTCTGTTGTGGAGGCCGCCCTGCGCACTGCAGCACATTTAGCAACAGCTCTGGCCTCTACTCATTGCCGGTAGCAATCCCCTCTTTCAATGTCTACAACAAAAATATCTTCAGACATTGCCAAATACCCTTTGGGGGCGATCTTGCCAGGGATTACTCTAGGCTTTGCAATTCTATGGGTGGTACACTGAAAGCATTTGCATTAGCATTTAATTTCTTGATATTTACATTAACACCAAGTTCCTTGAGGGCAGGGAATTTTTTCTCTCTTGTTCAGTGGATACTTAGTATAGCAGACACTCATTAGATTTTTGTTGCCAACAATGAACAATGATGGAGTATCTAACTGCATAGAGATTCAAAACTCCGTTTATCACATTTCAGCAGCACTTCTTTTTTTTAAGAATATTGTGCTTGCTTGTATTTAACATAAATTCAGCTCATATCACCTTTAGAATATAAGATAATTGGGAGAAAGTATTGTACTTTCCTTCTCCCCAGTTCAACATATCAATCAATTCTGTATGTCATTAAATGTTTACACATGCTGATTGATAGAATGAAATATCTCATCTTCAGTATAGCAGCACTATTAAAACAGCAGATAGATCCAAGTCTCTGAAATACAGATAAATACCAGAGAAGCAGAAATGTTCCTTTCCAACCAATTACGTATACAGATTTGATTCTGAATTTCACAAAACTTTACATGTTCTTTATGCACCAATTCAAGAATGCTCTCCCCTCATCCCATAGCATATACGCTATGTCTTGTTGAAAGTGAGTTTTCATATCAAAAAGCAACAGCTGTTTTCAGTTACAGCACCCACGTTTAACCTTTGCAGCAGTGTAACTAACCACTGAAGAGAGAATTCAGGAATATTTACACTCAGATCTTTTGCTATTAGAAATCATTCTTACTTCTTATTTGTCTACTTAAAATACAAAAATCTGCGGCTGATTATATGAAGTTTATGACTTTCCTGATCTTGAGTCACCCTTGGGATCCCCGGGTCTCCCTCATCTCCCAGAAAAACTCTGTGATTAGAAATTCACATCGTGATCATGTTTCGAAAGAACAATCAGCAGCCACACATCGCAGAGGGCTATCAGAAAAGTGACCGAAGTGTATGACACCCGAATTTTCACTCTCACGGATTCTGCTCCATAAGTGACCACAGAGCTGTCTGCCAGCAAGATGCTTGTCCGCAGCCTGGAGGATGAGAAGCGACAGCAGCAGATCATACATCCAGTCTTTCTAGCCATGATTCTTTTAAAATGGCTCTCACTTTAAGAGCACTTTCATCAAATATTATCAAAACTTACACTTCTCCCTACAATTGTTTTCCATTAAAGTTTAGTGCCAGCTGTCAAAGTTGTAACATAAACTCTTATTAGCTTTTATAAGTTCTACTCTGGAACTAATAAGGGATTGTCAAAACTCCAAACGCAGGCCTAGGTGGGGGCAGAAATCACAGGAAAGAAGGTGGAAAGTGCTCGATGAAGCTGCACTGGCAAAGCAATCACTCTGAAACTTTCACCAATGCATTTCACAGAATCTAAGACTCTCAGGCTGGGGGAAAGACCCAGTCCTCAGTTTATTTTGCATAGGGTTTGATTTCTCCTCCTCTGGGAGGGGACGGCTAAAACAATAAGACAAATAATTGAAAATTTTAATAAGATATCAATAACCTCTTCAGAATTGTTACATGCATTCTGAAAAAAATTATATTGTATTCTCTAAATTTTAAAATGTGGAAGTTTGCTAAGATCTTAATAGCTAGAAAGAAAAAGTATAGTTGAAAAATCAAAGATGAATAATATTATTTACAAAAGCCATAGATTATATAATATATAAGGTGTTTTTAAAATGTGTTTAATGAAATGGCATGCAGCAAAGCAGAACAAAAAATGACTGTCCACATAAACCCCAAAGTAGTCAAAGTTAAAGAAATAAAAATTGAAATGAAATTTCAAGACTTCCTGTAGAGTCTTACTGGACTTGACAGTAATTTATGATGGCAGATCCATGAGTTATAGGATAAGGTGTTATTTATTAAGATGTCAAATTCAGTATAATTTTTATATATTCAAAATAACCAGTATTCCCTCTCTCACAAAGAAATGTGGCTTTTTCTTGAAAATTTAAATCACTTTTCAGATGAGTTTACATTAATAGATCCTTAGTAAATGGTATACAGAACAATGTTCTGGACTACCTTTGAAAATGAGGCTGAAAATGAAACAACAAATAATACTTGCGTGCGAGTAAAATCAGAACTATTTTTCTTTCAGGAATTGGAAGTCCTCCCCCCAGCCCCCGCCCCATGTCTTAAATTCGCTCAGTGAATTCTGTCCTGGAGAGTTTGATTCATATTTTGCCACAGGCAGACCCTTAAACAAATAAATGATTCAGGGGGCAAATTATTTGTGTTCTCTAAAGACTATACATTTGGCATGTAGGGGTTACCTAAATTATTATTTGGACCAAACCAGGCAAAGCCTCTAAAAGTTCATACAACAGAGTGATGTAGGAAAAAAGAATGTGGTATCTCAAAAGCAGATACCCTACAGCTATTTGATAAGGGCTGACTGTAAACTAGGCTATAACCTTAGGAAAATACCTTAAGACTGACCCATAAAATGGTCTTCTGGGTTATGATAAAGACTAGTAAAATACCTCTTAAAGAGAAAATCTCATACTGTTTTCCCTTCTTCAAACAACAGAATTAATAATGTTATATAACTAAATTAACCCATACAAGGTACAAGAATACTATTTTACTAAAACACTGTAATTCTTATTTAGCTGTAATTCTGTGTTAGAATGTTACTAACATTTATAAAACTGCCTGTGATTTTTAAGGTCTTTTATGGTGGTTCATTGCTGATCATTTAACTTGTTCTTATTCATTAGGAGGTATTTAATGGTTGGATAGGAATTTGTTCTACTCCCTAAATTTAAGGACAGGCATATCTCTCCTAAATATGTTTGCAATTAAATTGTCTCTAACTGCTCAAAATAGTCTGATTTTTAGTATACACAGAGCAAAGAATTTGCATTTCTTCCTAGTATCTTAAAGATGCAAATCCATGGTTCAAATTTATACTGTTTGTTTTTATACAGACTCAAAGATAAACTACATAGTTAAACAAGTCACAAACAAAATATGCTCCCTCTCTTTTTCATATTTGAAACAAGTTTTTATTTAATTACTGTTTAGACAGTTCATCCAAGTAATTTGATTGAAATTATCCGGTAATATCACATAGTAATTCATGCTAGCACATTTGGCTTTTACTTCATACAATTTATATTGTTCTCCCTGTTGCCCGTTTTTAGTATTTGGGTGATTCTCAACTATGCATAATAAATACCTGAAATAAGTCAAATAGATATAGTTAGCACTACACAGAGTCAAGTAAAATGGCTGGACAAATAATTTACTTACTTGATTACTTATTTTTGATTCACATAATTTCTACAAGGTAAGCATATTATTTATTGTTATATCCTCTCCAACTATGTAATCTAGTCTTTTTTACAAATATATTTTATTGATTTTTCACAGAGAGGAAGAGAGAGGGACAGAGAGTTAGAAACATCGATGAGAGAGAAACATCAATCAGCTGCCTCTTGCACACCTCCCACCGAGGATGTGCCCGCAACCACGGCACATGCCCTTGGCCAGAATCGAACCCGGGGCCTTTCAGTCTGCACGCCCACGCTCTATCCACTGAGCAAAACTGGTCAGGGCTAATCTAGTCTTTTTTTTACAATGAATGTTAGAACAGATCACAGTATGAAATAATTCAAGATTTAATGTTATTGAAATGTAACATTTTTATTTTATTTTGCTACTATTGTTTGCTTGTTTCCTAACCTATATTTTCTTAAATCAGCTGAAACCTGAATATCTTTCTGGGTATACAAGTAAAAATGTCCATATAAAAATTCAAGGCTGCTTTTGAAAAAACAATGGAAAGACCCATCCTAGAAACAATAAGCAACTGAGACATATGCCAGGTGGGAAAAATCAAGAATTGTTTAGAAGAAGAAGGAGAAAAATAAAAGCTAAATATAAGAGAATAGAAAAAATACCATCTATGATTGAATAGATTAGAGGTTTAATGGAACTAAAAGTGAAATATCCTGGGCTATGGGAGGAAGAATCCTGTTTGAAAGAAGGTGGACAGCCAGTGATGAAGTCATAAATACATAATTATATAAATTCATTGTAAGATTATTTTCTCTCCCTCAAGTTATCTCTAAAGTCTAAGATTTGGGGTAATATACAGACTATTAAAAGGGTGTTATATCTAAGGGTTTCAATACAGATTAAAATAAGAAAGCAGGAAAGGCAATATATTCAAGAATGCTGATCACAGACGATAACAATGAGGTTAAAATACCTTTCATCCAGTGCTAGACACTCTACACTGGGAAAGAAACACATCGGTTGGCAATTCTAAAGGGTAAAGTTTGTGAGTGAGACAACTGAGGTTTAAACTGGTGAGCCACACACTTGATCAGTAGCATTCTTGGAACTCTTGAGCCCAAGCATTAAAACATTAAGCTGAACAACAAAATAAAAACATTAAGCTGAACAACAAAATAAAAACAAATTTGGGAACTATCTTGGCAGACTTCTGCGCTATATTAATGTTTCCATTACTTATTATCTAAATTGGTGAGAAGACAGAAACTTGTATAAATCAGAGGTTTTATAGTTATTAGTAAGTTGTCATAGCATATCTGTTTAATTCATTTCAAAGTTATTTAGATTATTGCTTATAAGTGGCATATTTTTATTGAAATGATTGATTTGTTTGAAAAGTCATGGCTGTGTAAGTGTTAAAGGCAGAGTGAGAATAAAGGACTGTGGTTTTAAACTCAAGAAAAACGAATAACATTTTTGTAATTCAAGGTAAGAAACCTGATCATTACAGTGCAGTCATTAAAAGATGAATCCATACATTAAGAACTAAATATATAAAGTTAAGGGAGAAAATTCAGCATCTTCATAAACAGATCTTTCTCACTATAAGTATGAAACTTGTGATAACTGCTTTTTTCAGGTCAGAAAAAGAATATTCATCAGAAATTTATAAAAGAAAAAGTATTCTCTCAGCCATATGCAATATTATTACTTTACTCCATATATTATCACTATAATGATAATTCAGATAAATCTAATCTTTAATTGTTGCAACTGAATGTGATATAACAATTGCATTTGTTTCAAATTGCAAACATGAACATCTTCATGTGCAAGTCTTTCTAAACGGTCTCGTGACTTCAAAGATAAATAATATAAAGAATGTTCTCTCCAGAACTTACATTGTAAGAATACATAGTTGGCACAGAAATACCCCAGTATTTATTCACTCAGTAATTGTCTAATTGAGAACTTAATTATACTCTACCAGGTTCTAAGGACAATGTTCCAACAAAAAGACAAGAAACTTCCCGTCTTAAAACAACTGGAAAGAACTACTTCTGAATTCATTACAACAAAAGAACACCTTGCAGTTTTAGAAGGTGCACATCGACTCAGTAGGTGCTAAGAAATTTCTACTGAGATGTTTCATTTTCTCTAGCTCCTCTGTCAAAGCAAGAAGAACCTTTCTGTTATGGAAACCTTGACAACTCCTTTAAGACAGTTTCTGAATTGACACAGAAGTAAGTGGAGAGTAAGAGTTGGTATTGTTAAGACTTAGGTGAAACAAACATAATTACAAATAATCCTCAACAAGTCTCCATGCCTTGATACATCACATCAAACACACTTTTCTATAAAGCTGCTAATGTACAAGAACAAGGAAGAAAGTTAGCATTCCACGATGAATGCATAGAGATAAAACACAGAGCAACAGATTCTTCAGTGACATTAATAAGGTACTTGGTACATTAAGTCTAAACAAAGTTTGTAGGAGCAGGAATATTTATAGTAACCTCCTGGTATCTGCCTCGAATGTAATTAATTGACTATATAAAAAGCCATTAGCATTCTCATTTCTTCTCTTCAAACTGAATCAAAGCAGATAATATAATTCATTAGCCAGGATAAAAAAATAACAAGGATCATGAGGTTCCCTTGGAATTAATATAAAATTCTCCCAAACCTCCAATCCTAAAAAGTGAAAAGAGTTATGATGGAATGTAAGAAGTATGATGAATTTCCTAAATGAAATAAATCACATAAAACAAGATAGTCAATGAATGAAAGCAAATAGCAAATGATTTAGGTTTATAATTTTAATTTTTAATGTTATATTTTTAAAGCATGTTTATTGACATCTTATAAAAACAACTCAACCTGAAATTGACTACTTTCTCAACATCCAGAAAGTTTGCCCAGATCCCAGAAACATGACCTAAATGAGGTTTGAGCCACACACAGAGTAAATTAAGAGATACCACAATTTCTTACTCTATCATTAAGTTGAGAAATGACTTTTTTAAACAAAACCCATATTTTAAAATTATATATTAAAGAAAGTGCTTCTCGCACTCTCAAACCAAGTCTGATGTATGAATTCTTATTTTTCTTAATAATTTTATAATACCCCATTATATGTTTAAGCTTGTGTAGTTTTTTTTTTAATGTGCATTTCTACCTTACCAAATTTATCATAATAAGTACTTTTTACTTTCTTGGAGCTGCCTTTTTCTGTGTTTTGAGTTTGCTTAGCACACAGTTCCTGAGTAATTCCTTACCCATATGCCTTTCATTGCTCCCCAGTATTCTTCCTCCAACCGATCCTTGAAGGAGAAAGCTGCATTTTCTACTCTTAGGATCTCATGTTTCTTCAGTGGCAAAGAAAAGAGGCCAGCAACATAAAGCATTTATTGCAGAAAATGTTAATTTCCCATACTCATATCCTCCCTTATCAATATCTCCTTCCGCAGCAATACTAATGCCTTTGCTTCAGTCTATTATTAACTTAGCTCTGTTTATAATTCAGCTAAAAATCTGTGTTCCTTTGGAGACAGAGACCAAAACATTTTACATTTTAAGACACATATTCACTTATATGTGCACACACGTGCGTGCGTGCACACACACACACACACACACACAACCTCATACTTTTAAACAATCAAAATAACTTAGCAGTCATAATGTTCATCTTCCTTTGCTAATGTCTAATAGGATTTAGCACATATTAGAGGTTCAATAACTGTTCAATAACTGAATAAATGATTAAAGGATACTTTCATCTACTTTTTCTCATTTAAACTTTTTATTTTTATAATTTATTGGTGTTACATTGGTTAAAAATTATATAGGTTTAACATGCACAATTCTACAATACATTATCTGTTTATTGTATTAGTGTTCCCCGCCCCAAATCAAGTCTCCTTCTGTCACCATTTATCCCCTTTTATCTTCTTTCCCCTTGGAAATCATCATGCTGTTGTCTGTGTCTATGAGATTTTTTTGTGTGTGTTTGTTTGGATTTTTTGCTTAATCCTTTCACCTTTTTCACTCAGTCCCATACCCCCTTCTTCTCTGACAACTGTCTGTCTGTAGTTTTTCTATGAGTCTGTTTCTATTTTGTTGCTTTGTTTATTTTGTTCATTAGATTGACCTCAGACCTGTCAGAATGGCTATCATGAATAAATCAACAAACAACAAGTGCTGGCAAGTATGTGGAGAAAAGGGAACCCTCTTGCATTGGTGCAGCCACTATAGAAAACAGTATGGAGTTTCTTCAAAAAATTAAAAATGGAACCACCTTGTGACTCAACAATTCCATTTTTGGTTATATATACAAAGAAACCTGAAACACTAATTCAAAATAATATATACACCCCTGTGTTTATTGCAGTGTTATTTGCAATAGCCACGATGTGAAAGGAGCCTAAGTGGCCATCAGATGAGTGGATAAAAAAGCTATAGTACGAGTACACAATGGGATACTACTTTTCTGTAAAAAAAAAAAAAAGAAAGAAAGAAAGAAAAGAAGAAAGAAATCTTACTTTTGGGGACAGAATGGATGGGTCTGGAGAGCATTATGCTAAATGAAATAAGCCAGCCAGGGAAAGACAAATACCATATGATTTTACTTTTTCTCATTTTAGGAATAAGTGGGCTATTGTGAAAGTTTGCATTATGTATGAGAGTAGATAACACCTTAGTTAGAACTATAGTCCTATACAAAGACAATTTTGGTTTTTCTTATAGCTCTGAAAGTAATGGATGAGTTTTTTGAAAACAAAATATTTTTATCAATATAATTTTCCAATCAAACAAAGATTGTCACGTTTTCATAATTTAATAACTGTCCCAACATCTGTGAGACAGATAATTCAAAATATTTCATTTGATGTCATAAAATAACTATGTTATGAAATGTAAACCCTCTGTAAGGCCTCCGTGTGGAATAGCCAAAATTCTAATGGGAATTTTCCACATTTTGAGATAATGACTCAATAAACAAATTATAAAACTCAACTTCTGAAATGTATAAGCTGTGTAAGGTGATTAGCTCTTTCACTTTACCCCAAAATTTTCTAAACACAATAGTAAAGGGTCTGAAATCTCAATGCAAAGGCTTCTCATTATAAATAAACAATTTCCGTTAATAATTTTGAAATACTCAAAATTAATATCTTGTTTCCCTATTAACCAAAGCACCTCTGTACCCCTGAAAGAGGATTTATTGGTCTGTCTTGCACTAAAATTATCCACTTATGTATCTGCCTTTCATAATAGATTGTGAGCTCCTAGAAGGTAGATAAAATGACTTACTTATCCATGTTTCCCCTATGCCTGGCACATTATTAATTTGTATTAATAGATGGTCAAAAACACTTATTGAGTTAAATTTGGCAAATATTTTATGCATATCTAAAGTGCATGACAATCCACATATCCAGATTTTACTAACTTAAGCCAAACCTCATTTTCCCATAATATGGCATTTTGGCTAGCAATTCTTCTTTCTTAAAAATCTAGAAACAGAAAAATCTGGGAAATATACTGAAATAAATAAACCTTATATTCACAGATCCTTAGTTACTTTGTGCCAACTTTTTGCGGCCCTACTCATCCTTCAATATACAGAACTGTAACTCCAGTGGAATTTGTGTCCTGGGGTTTCCTAATCTCTGTCACCACTGGACTGAATCATAGGAAAGCTTGTGGGTTGAGGTTGGGACTGCAGACCTTGGGATCAGACTGCCTAATTTCAGATCTCAACTCTCACACTCACTTATTAAGGAACTTAAGGCAAGACATTTAAACTACCAAAGCTTTGTTCTCATTTAAAAATGGAGATAATAACAGTATGTATCAATAGGTAATTTCAAAGGAAAAATGAAGTAACTCATAAATATTACTTAACAAGTCAGCACAGTGTCTGGCATCTCCTAAGTGCTTAATGAATGTTTAAAAAGTCTGAATTGTTACTACAGTGCTTGGAATGAAGTACATTCTCATTAAAGTTGTTGAAATAAAGTGAAGGTAGTCTAATTTTCTTCTGTTTTAGTCAATTAAAAGCCTATGATTACTTTTCAAAAGAGTGACATGATTTTTTGTAAACAAAAAACAACAAAATAAACAACCAATGAAACACATGTTTAGCTATTTTGTCATGTTTACCTTTTTGAAGCATTACCATGTCTCTGTGTGCCTGAAGTACTTGTGATCAAACACTGATTTGTGCAAGTCATAGCCATCTCTTCTGACCAGCCCACAATCTTATTAAAAACCAACCATAAAATTAAAAATTAAGAAAGGAAACCATAACAAACACCAGCACCATCACTGACAACAATAGCAAAATTGCAAGCCTCAAGCCAACCTGGCCTACCCAATTACAGAATCAAGGTGTTGAGAACTTGATAAATTAGCAAATGTCAACAAATAACTGTAAGTCTATGCTCCACCTTCAAATCACATGACTGAAAAATCATCCCTTTTTAAATTCCAGTCACATCCCATTTCACACATCATCTTCCCTTCTACTAAAATTATTGTTGTTGCTTTATCTCCAATATATTTTCTTAGAATAGTTTGTATATAAGCATATGCATGTCTTATTCTAATACTAGTATTTATAAACGTCGAGAAAGTCTGTAACAATATAGCATTTTTTATATCAAAGAGGTGCTGTGATGTCCTTCAATATAATAAAGTACACAATTCAAGGATGTAAAACCTAAATTAATGTGTTCTCTAGGAATAATTTGACATGGAACATCACTGAATAGCGTAGTAACTTTTAAAAAAGTGGTTCGGTAAATTAAGATGCAGTTAGTAAAATAATAGCAATTCTGAATTTATTGTGAACTTTCTGAATACCACTTAACATTGTTCTTTTTAAAAAATATTCTTCTAAAGTTGTCTTCAAGTCAGTATGTGTAATGGGCTGATAATTTGAATCCTTTATTTCTATTATCACTTTTATGTGATTCTATTTATCTCACTGATACTTATTTTTCTATTTCTTTTAATTCTTTTTGAGATATAAAGCACTATATAAAATTATTTAAAATCCAAACATCTAATGATTAGATTTCTTGTTGGATGTAATAATTTATGAGATATCTTTGTTTAAATTGATACATATTATTAAAATGGAGACACATGATTCCTCTCCTGGTATGAGTATCAGAGATTGGTTCCATAGGGATGAAATTAGTGACGGTGAGAAATTAGAGAATATTTAATTCCTCTTCAGCTAGGTCTTAATCATTTCATTTAAAATTAATCTCACAAACATCATATATCACAAATAATACTATGATAATAAAACACAATTCAAGTGGATAATGAAGCTATTGAGTGTTCCCTCTGCTCATGTATATAAGCAAGCAGTAGCTAGTATGTTGTTTCAAGTTTAGAACTTTCAAAACTATACTTAGTAACAGTATTCAAATGGTGATTGCCAAGGATCTAAATAATACCAAGAAGTATGAGGCTAGAATGTACCATTTGTTCTCATTAAAATTTTTTCTATAAACTATATCTGTAGTCAAAAGCAAAATGCTATGTTCCATTCAGATTGTTAGAAAGGTAAATTTATATATAAAGTATAATAATTTCTTCCCTTTGGACTTGAGGTTTACTTAATGGCCTTAAGAATAATACCAAACTCAACTTCTTTGGCATAATGTAATAGGAAACAAAAGTGTTAAAACAGATTAGATTCTACAGACTAGGTAGTTAAGCATTCCTATGCATTTCTACATTTAAAATTTTAATGTATAAAAGACTAATTGTATAGCAATATAATACATTCTACTATGAGACATAAAAGCGCAAACCTAGTCAGCACACATTCTAATTCTCTTAGAGTTAACTTACCTGCCCGAGTATCAATGATGTTTCTTCTTTCAACATGAAAATGACAGGGGATTATTTTTTTCTTAGAGTTTCATTTCCATAGTCATTAAATAGCAGGGAAAACTTAAAAATAGCAGGAGTTACAACTCTAGTGGGGTATACGCCAGCACCACATGCTCAAACATGTTAATATTTCTAAAATAAATGAAGAATCAACACATCAAGTGGAATAAACTTAGTCTATATATAGACTCTGTTCTATTTAAGGCATGTTTGGCTGCCAAGTGAGCATAGGTTTAGTTAATTTGTTTCAATTACTCTACGATAAACTCGCAGGTGAGAAATACCACTTTAAGGAAAATGGAGAGGACTTACCTTGGCACATAAAACCCCTCTCTTCATAGCCAGCATTGCATGAGCACTTGCCGATGGGTACAAGCCATTCACCTTCTGTACTGCAGTACATCCTAGGAGGATCATCCTCCTTTGAATTGTTAACACAAGAACCTCTAACCTCCACCAGGGATTGAGAATCCATCGGTACTGTGTCTGGAAACATGGCCAGATTCTTCACTATGAATGGGCACTTTTTGAAGTACACTCTCACGGACACCAAGGCAACACAAGCTCCAACATCTTGAAAAGCCAAATAAAATCCCTTTTTGTTGACAGGGCCTACTTCTCTAACTTCAGTGTTGAGTTTAAGAATACGGTCCCCAAGATCCATTTGCGTGAAACTTTCATCAGCTGCAATGGTGTCAATCTTTGTAAACTGATGCTCTCGGAACTTGACCCCATGATCATCATCGGACTCCATGTAGTACAGGTTGAAAGTCTCCTTGCAGGTTCCCAAAACGAACGGGATGCTATTACAGTCTCGTAGAGTGAACTTGAGTTCCACATAGATCTTCTGAGCTGAGTTCCTGGGGACCCAGTTGGTCCTCAGCCAATTATTTTGACTATGTTCCATTACATTGCACACCTGGTAAGTCCTGATGGGTGTGTAATGCTCATCAACGCCACTGATTTCTTCCCACTGAAGAATCAGAGGAGAAACAAAAAAGAGGCAATTAATAAATTAAGAATAATGAATAAATAATAAACGAGATGAGGGTGCTAATGGTGTCACAGAAAATGCAAAGTAAATAAGCTGAAACTTCAGTGTTGCTCATTAAAGGTCATGATGTAGCAACACCATAACATTCTTGATTTTTTATTTGCAAGGTTCTCTGAATCCATGGACACAAATAATTTACAATTTTGATGAATGCATGTGAATTGCATTAAAGTTCATGGGACATTTAGGGAAAATGTTGCTTAGCATTTGATTAGATCACAAAATATTCCAGCATTAAAACCTCAACTCAGTCAGACCAGCATGGCTCAGTGGCTAAGCATTCACCTCTGAACCAGAAGGTCATTGTTCAATTCCTGGCCAGGCCATATCCCTGGGTTGCCAGCTGGATTCCCAGTGTGGAGCATGCAGGAGGCAGCCAATAAATGATTCTTTCTCATTATTGATGTTTCTATCTCCCTCTCCCTCTCCCTTAGCTCTCTTAAATCAATAAAAATATAGTAAAACAAACAAAACGCTCAACTCAGGCATCTTCAATAACACTATAAAATGGTTTTATTGTATGTTTTTGGATTTTTGTTTTTGTTATTAAAAAGAATGAAAAAATATGACTGCCTAAATGAATCTTCTCCCAATTTTGGCCAAATTTTGGTAAAATCAGTACATGGAAAACCAAAGTAAATCTAAATGATGCTATGACCACATGTGTCTTCATGTATGACATTTTTAATATAGTCATGGTGGACTATGAAAGAAAACTTGAAGTAAAACTATAAGCATCCATTCTTCTTGACCCAAAATAAAAGCTAAAATAGCTATGCACAGAGAACAAAAGATAGTAAACATTTAGGTAGTAAACATTTTAATTCTTAATATCTTTTACTCACATTTAATTTTACACAAGAAAAAAATAAATGGCAATTTGAGTTGTTGCTGTTATAGCAGTTAGGGTTACCCTAATACAAGTGTTTTTTATTGTAAGAACACTTAAAATGTTTGAGCCTTTTTAGAGCACTGAAGCCCTGACTCTCCGATCCTCAGAGCAGGTTTTGAGAAGCTTTTAAGTTGGCATCAGATAGTTTGTGTTACTTACAACTCCATGATTATAACAGTTTTGCCTACTGCTGCCCAGAAAGCACAATTTTTACCATGACATTCTTGAATTCAAAGGCTCCCCGTTACCTATGCATAACTCTGGTTTGACATTTCTGTTTTTCCAAAAATTGGTGCTAACCTACATTTAGATCTTGCTAGAAGTCTGAATTGAGATTAGTGAATTATTTTTCATTATGCACATACCATCTTCTCATCAAAATGAACTCTTTCACTGTTTTTAAATATACATTTGATCTTTATTTTGTGTATGGTATTACCCCAACTGGATTGTGCTCTTTTCTCCTTGATGCCTTCCATACCTCACTAATGCTTATTACATAACAATGCATTATATAACCCTTATTAAATACCATATTTAATTCATAAAACATGTTAAGGTAAGTTAAGTTTTGCTTCATTGCCTTTGCTAAATTTTAGACCTCGTCATATCCTCGGCAGTATGCAACATAAAACTTCACCTTTCGAAAGGTGCATACATTTTTTTTTCTTATAATACATGTAGAAATAATTCAAGAAAGTAACACATATAAGGTTCTTAATAGATAATATATCTTAACTTTTAAATAAATAAACAAACACAGTCCTTGTGAACCCCTATATAAATGTATTATAAGTTTTTCTCCATTAAGGGAATGGCAAGTTTACCTACCTTTAAACAAAATCAATGGCACTTAAGGTGTATTAAAATTTTTTATATGTATTTATTAAAAACACATAGAAATTAATTTCAAGCCATAACTTCTAGTCACAAAATAAGATGAAATTGATGATAACCACAAGAAAATAAATCTGACATTTATTTGGCCTTTGACCTAATTAGAAAAATAAATTATTTGCATTAGGGTGTTTAAATTAACAAAAGTAATTTGTGGACCACCATTAATACAGCTAAAATAATTCTTATTCTCCTTACCTCTCCTACAAAACTAAAAATAAACAAAAACAAAAAACTTAAAAAGCACTACTTAGTTTAATAATCTCAATCATTCAAGATCTAAAATATAAAAAAGGCATGAATTTTCTGGAGATAAAATTGTTTTGACTTAGGTCCAACAAAGAAACAAATTTGGACTATTTTAGAAAACCTTAGAATTAACATATAAGACACGTTTATACTATTATCTTAATATAAGAAAATAAAATATTCACACTGTGCTTTTACTAATCAACAATACACCATTCCTCACCATCCACTCTATGAAATTTTAAGAAGAAAACTGTGCATGAGAGTCTCAATCCTCAGGATTTTACACTGAGATGCTTATAATAGTATTGTCATATGTTAAGCAAAATTAATGTATATCTTTAGTACCAGAAAAATGAAAAAAAAGCTTGACTGGTGTGGCTCAGTTGGTTAGCACATCGAACTGCATAAGGAAGGGTTGCTGGTTTGATTCCCAGGCAAATCACATGCCTAGGTTGTGGGTTTGATCCTCAGTATGGAAGGCAACCAATCAATGTTCTCTCTTAAATTCTCCCTCTCTCCCCCCTCTCTAAAATTAATAAGTGTATCTTCAGGTGAGTATTAAAAAGTTATAAGAAAAGAAGAATGAAAGAAAAAGAGTGAACAGAGTTGGTGTTCCCCATAACTCTGATACTCTGTTGTTGAAAGGTCATCATGATGTGGAATCACCTCTATGGTCATCACATTGGCTCTCCAAAGGCACTATAAAGACAGAGCCAACAAAACCCCCAGAGAGTAAATGTTTTCTGTGGACATTTTAAAGAAAGTTAGATCATGGACATCATTATTTTAAAATAAACCAATTAACTTAAAAATTTTCGGTCAAGGTTTCCTTTTCAGAATAAATAGGAGTTTGTACTTTGACTGATGAATCGATTGCAAATTTCTTCTGCTATGTATGAGCAGCATTTTTACTAGACATGAAACAAAGAAGAAATTATAGAGAAATTTTCATAATTTGATGTAAACTATTATTTTAATTATGGAGCTTTCACTCTGGTTTAATAATTTTCCTCTCAATACTAATTCAGCAAGCTATCACAAGTCCTTGAATGCAGAGGTATAAATCTCAGAAAGATAATACAAACAGCACCACAATACTTTGAATGTAAAAGGTTGCAGAGAGCAATTATCACTTCATTAATTTGTAATGAAGACCAAATTGCCTGTAAGTGATAGTGGCTTGCCATCTCAGACCACTTGCAAAAACATTGTCACTAACTCTGGCATTTACTAAGGACTGAAGATAGTAGAAACAAAATCCCTAAATGAGCATTTTCACAATAGCAGCAGCTAAGCAAAAACCATTAATTAAAACTACTGTTGTAAACCTTACTCTATATAATTTTAAGAATGTCCATATTTACCCTATTTTCTTACTCCAAGAACTAACATGTAATGTTCATAAATTATTATAGATATGTTATTGCTGCAATCACTGTCTCAAGGAAGACTCGGAAAATGAAAACAGGTGCCATATAGAATTGGTTGGTCCAAAGGTTCTTTCTATTCATTGTATTAATTCCTAAAGAAAATCTCTGCAAGGGGTATCCAACAGCAATGTTGTCTTCAGCAGAAGGGAATACTGAACTAGGAGGAGCTCAAATTCTTTCTAAAGCTCAAGTCTCCCAAATCAACAATTCTGATATGTAGATTCTTACTCCAAGCCTTTATTATTAGACCACAGAAGTCAAACAGAACTCAGTGCCCTGTGGTTATGTTGTGTTCTCTTGTTCCAAATTATAGAACTGGAAACCAGTGGTATCCAGATGTACTCCTCCTAGCAAGGTCACTCTGAAATATATTCTCAACAGCATAATCAGAGTGAACCTCCCCATCATCAAAAGATAGTGTAGGATACAAAGGAGACTCTTGATTCATATTTTCTAGATAGAAGTTCTGTCATTGTGTTAGGGGCAGCAATAGAATATTGAAAAATAGCACAATTATAAGAAATATTAATCATGCTCTCTTAACCAGGATGTTCTGTTCTGGTTAGAGAAAGCACATTCTAATATGGCTGAGAGTTGTATGCCCTGGGACATGGGAGCTAATATCGGAATGTGGTCCATCATTTCCTGAGAACTGTCTACATTATGGAAAGATGTACAACCTCATGGCTGGAACAATCTAGTCCTGGAAGCACCTACCCTTTGCAATGCCCAGCCCCTATTTGCCTGAAATCTGGTCCTGGAGGTGCCCAGAGGCACTGTCCCTCAGCAACACCTCCCCGACCTGCATTGCCTGTGACCTGTAACCATTATACCTTGCCTTCTTCTCTATACTTGTAATTCTTACTCTCACACATAATCTCTGCCTCCTACCCAATATGAGCAGCTGGCTTATGGGAGGGACGCAGCATATTTTTTTTGGACGCCCTGCTGCTCTCCCAAACCAATGGCATTTTGGAATAAATGCTCAGATATGATTCAACCCTCTCTCTGCTTAATTGGCTCAAGTAGTGATAGGCAGCCTGAACCTCTTGGTTGTCCAGTTACAATTGATTCAAACATTTTTTTTTGGAAAAACCTATATTTTAACAATTAATCAGCATTTAACCTAATAACTATCATTCTGACAAACCTCAATTATAGTAATTAAGGATTTTTACTCAATATTAATTACTGTCTTGGATACATTTTTAGCTACTTGGTAATTGGAAAAAGTAGGAAAATGTTTGCATTTTTAAAAAGATATGTTTGTAATGATTTTAGAGAGAAAAGGAGAGAGAGAAACATCAGTGTGACTTAATCAGCTGCCTCTTGGACTCTGCAGGGGGATTAAGCAGGTACTCCAGATTGGGAATCTAACCAGTGACCTCTTGGTGAATGGAAAGACTCTCAACCAACTGAGCCACACTGGCCAGGGCTGTTTGCATTTT